GGAAACCCTGTACAGGGTCGCTATGGGTCGGAACCGACTCGACGGCACTTAACAACAACAACAACAACAATATATTGTTAAGTGCTGTCAAGTCAGTTTCGACTCATAGCAATCCTGTATAGGGTTCAAGCAGCTGGTGAGTTTGAGCCACCAACTTTACAATCAAACCAACTTTGCAGTCCAGCACATATCTACACTCCCAAACACCATCCCACAGTTACTTTTGTTGCTTGATAGAAAAAGAGAATTTTAAGGTAGAAGGTACATTAGAGCAATCCTTCCTATTCATTATATGTGAATTCCCTTTACAGTGGCCCCACTATCTTCTCATTCAGCCTTTAGCAACTAACTGTTGAACTCAAACAGCACATCTTATTTTTGGACAATTGTGCCACTAGAGAGTTCTTTCTGATATTGAGTTGAATTTTATCTCTGCATAATTTCTATCCATTAGTCCTAGTTCTACTCTTTGTGTTGTGTGAGGAGGGGTGTACAGAAAAGCCCATCTCTTCTTTACACCATAACCCTTCAATATGTATGCACAGACATTCTGTAGCATCTCATGATTCAAATACAGAAAGTGGCCCTGCTCATGCCTGGTCTGTGTGTTAACTATCCAGAGTACTTCTGGGTTCATAATTTACTATAGTCTAGTCATATTTATCTTTAAATGTGGGTGAACAAAAAGGAGTTGTATGTGGCTGATGATACTCATATGTCTCTGTAACCCCTCAACTGTATGGATATGGAATTAACTACCCTTTGACCCCAGATTTTCTGCATTGTCAGAAAGATGAGTGAAACACTTGCTTCTAAATCTTATTCTAACTTCTAGCATATATCACTGATTCTATTTTTATAACTACATATTATATGTTGTCAGTAGGTCCTCTTACTATTCCTTCAGTAGACATTTACTAAATGTCCCCTATGCTATGCAGCAGACTATTTCAGGCTCCGTGGATACCACCCCTCAACCGGCTCACAGAAGAGAGGGAGAGACAAGTACAGGCACAAATGTAGTGATAATAGCAGATTGTTATCCATGTGGAACAGAGGTATGCAGACATGACTATCAGAGCACATAGGAGGGCAACATAGCCCAAATAAGGAGTGAGGGGAGACTTCTTGAAAGAGGTAACTCTGAGCTAGATCTTAAGGGTTCATAAGAATTAATCTGATAAAAAAAAGAACTAAGGAATTCCAGGATGAAATAACAATGACTTAACAGAGACTTTGAAAGTGAGAGACTACATGGAATGTGAGAAGCTGGAAGGAGTCAGAGAAACTGGAGTTCAAATTCAAGATGGAAAGTGGAAACAATTATACTGGAAAGATATAAAGGACTTTTCATGCCAGGCTGTGGGAATTGGGACATGAGATGAACAGGGATACTGAGAGAAAAGGGGGAGTTGTGGATGACTCGGGTTTTGAACCCGAACCACTGGTGGATGGTAGGGACATAGGGAGCAATGGAGGAGGAGTAGGTTTACAAGAATAAAAACGATGGGTATATGCTTTGACATTTTGATTATAATCATATCCTAGAAGAAACTGGATATGTGAATGTGAACACAAGGAGAGAAGTTTTGTGGGATAATAGATTTAGGAATTGTTAACACATAGCTTTGAAATGCAAAGTCTGCAGTTCAAGTCTACCAGTCATTCCTCTGAAATAGGGTTACTATGAGTCAGAACCAACTCAATGGCACTAAACAACAACAACAATGCATAGATTGTCTGAGGTAGAATGAGAAGAAAGCAAGTTGATTAAATCCAAAAGAACAGTTGTCTTTCAAGAATGAATCAGTGGATAAGAAGAACTCTGATCAACAGTGTTGAAAAGAAAGCCAAGAAAATCTTGTGTCTTGTGGACCAAGGGGGGAAAAAATACCAAAAGAACCTTTCAAAAATAAAAGATTCAGTCAACCATTTCAAATACCACAGAAAGGATAAATAAGTTAAGGTGTGAATTGATCAGCAAGGAGATCATTACTGTTACCTAAAAGAGTGCTCCTTAGCATAGAAAATATTGATGGTGTCATGTTTGTGTACCTGCTCAGTGTGTCAGGCACTGTGCTAGGCATGTTATACATTTAATGTACTTTAAAATTGTACATTAGCTATTTAGATGTGAGCTAAGTATGGCTGGGAAAAAATTAAGGCATGCTACTATCAAGTGAAGAGGACTTGAAATATTTATTTATGAAGATCAAAGAGCACAGCCTTCGATATGGATTACATCTCAATGTCAAGAAAACAAAAATCTTCACCACTGGACCAATAAACAACATTCTTATCAATGGAGAAAAGATTGAAGTTTCAAGGACTTCATTCTTCTTGGATCAACTATCAACACTCGCGGAAGCAGCAGTCAAGAGATCAGACAACGTATTGCATTGGGCAAATCTGCTGCACAGGAAATTTTTAAAGTATTGAAGAGTAGAGATGTCAGCTTGAGGTCTAAGGTGCGCCTGACCCAGGCCATGGTGTTTTCAATAGCCTCATATGGATGCGAAAGCTGGACAGTGAATAAGGAAGATCGTAGAAGAATTGATGCCTTTGAGTTGTGGTGTTGGAGGAGAATACTGAAAGTGCCATGGACTGCCAAAAGAACCAATAGATCTGTTTTGGAAGAAGTGCAGCCAGAGTGCTCCTTGGAGGCCAGGATGGCTAAGCTTCGTCTCTCCTACTTTGTACATATTGTCCAGAGGAAACAGTCGCTGGAGAAGGATGTCATGCTGGGTAAGGTGGAGGGTCAGAGAAAAAGTGGAAGACCCCTAACGAGATGGATTGGCCAGGTGGCATCATTGATGGACTCAAGTGTGGCAGCGGTAGTGAGGTTGGCCCAGGATCGGACATTGTTTTGTTCTGCTGTGCATAGGGTCGCTATGAGTCGGTTCCGACTCGATGGCACCTGACAACAACAGCAACAACTATCAAGTGGATAAAGCGTTCTCCAGCTGTTCCGCGGGAGAAAGAGGAGGCTTTCTGCTCCCGTAAAGACTTACAGCCTTGGAAACCCTGTACAGGGTCGCTATGAGTCAGAACCAACTCCATGGCACACAACAACAACTATCAAGTGGATAGTTTGTCAGACCATGGGGGCTGGAATGTGGTTCTAATGCTGGAAGCTAAGGCACTGGTGTTCCAAATACCCACAGTGCCGCCCATGGTGGACAGGTTCCAACAGAGTTTCTAGACTAAGGAAAAGCTAGGAAGAAGGAATAGGCAATCCATTTTTGAGGGACTAGCCCCTGAAAACCTTATAAATAGCAGCAAAACATTGCCTGTGTGGACCGTAAGAAACTATGGATAACATTGCAAAAAATAAGTATTCCAGAACATTGAAAAGTGCTCATGTAGAACGTATACATAGACTATGAGGTAGCCATTCCCAGAGCAAGGGGATACTGACTGGTTTAAAGTCGGGAAAAGTGTGCATTGAGGTTGTATTCTTCAGACATACTTATTCAATCTGTTATGCTGAACAAATAATCCAAGAAGTTGGACTATACAAAGAAGAATGCAGCATTAGGATTAGAGGTAGGTTCATTATCAGATAATATCAAAGAGGACTTAAAATTCTTACTGATGAAAATCAAAGAAAATGGCCTTTAATATGAAGTAAAACTCAATGCAAAGAAAACAAATATCCTCACAGCTAGACTATTAAAGAACATCACGATAAATGGAGAAACAACTAAAGTTGCCAAGGATTTCATTTTACTTGGAGCCACAATCTCTGCGCTCCTGGAAGCAGCAGTCAAGAAATCAAATGATGTATTATATTGGGCAAATCTGCCGCAAAAGTATTAAAGGGCAAAGATGTTACTTTGAGTGCTATGTCAATCACCTCATATTCATGTGAAAGTTAGATAATGAATAAGGAAGACCAAAGAAAAATCGATGCATTTGAATTATGGTGTTGGTGAGGAATATTGAAAGTACTGTCAACTTTCAGAAGAACAAGCAAATCTGTCTTGGAAGAAGTACAGCTGGAACACTCCTTAGAAGCAAGAACGGAGAGATTTCGTTTCATATGTCTTGGATATGTTATCAGAAGGGAGCAGTCCCTGAAAAAGGACATCATATTTAGTAGAGAGTCAGCAGAAAAGAGGAAGACGCCAAACACGAGTTGCAACAATGAACTCAAACATAATAACAATTGTGAGGATGGTGCAAGACTGGGCAGTGTTTCCTTTTGTTGTCCTTAGGGTCACTATGCGTCAGAGCTGACTAGATGGCACCTAACAAGAACAGCTATCAAGTGCTTGCTGTTAGGTGCAATTGAGTTGGTTCTTCCTCTTAGCAAACCTATGAACAAAAGAAGGAAACACTACCTTGGCCTGTACCATCTCACAATTGTTATAATAACTTCAAAATCCCTTGAAAATTCTCCTTGTCCTTAGAGAAAGCATGCTGTAAGGGAGAGAGAGAGAAAGGACAAATATTATAAAGTAGGAGAAAAAGTCTAGGCAGGTTGTGTCTTACTTTTAATCTGTTATAATTTGACAAGGTAGATTGTATTTGACTACAATCATGAATTCTCTAACCCTTGTACATGAACACAGTAATATAAGGAGATAATGTACTACATTTTCCGTACCCCTACAGGATCCACTTGACATGGGACATTACCAATAAGAAAGGATGCCTTGAAATGTAACTAGGCCACCTTCTGTGCTACTTGTTACCATTTAGTTGCTGGGTTATGGAGATTTATGAGAAGATGGCAAAGGGACATAGAGCAACAGTTATTATTTGCCAGTGTGAAAGTGTAAGGGGACTTCAAAAAATTCATGGAAAAAATGGAATTAAAAGATAATGGAATATTTTCACAAACTTTTGGAAACCCCTTTGTATTTCAATATTTTAACAGCTGGTATATTCATGGGGTTAGAGTGCTCCTTGGAGGCCAGGATGGCCAAACTTCGTCTGTCGTACTTTGGATATATTGTCAGGAGGGACCAATCACTGGAGAAGGATATCACGTTTGGTAGGGTGGAAGGTAGAGAAAAAGAGGAAGACCCTCAACAAGATGGATTGGCAAAGTGGCAGCATCAATGGGGTCAAGCTTTGCAACAATAGTGAAGTTGGCCCAGGATCGGGCAGTGTTTCATTCTGTTGTACATAAGGTCGCTATGAGTTGGTACCGACTCGATGGCACTTAACAAAAACAAATCGTCATGGGGCAAACAATTAAGGACTCAGAGGCTAACTGAAAGTTTGGCATTTGAAACCCACCCATTGGCTCTACAGGAGAAAGTACTGACAATCTGCTTCCATCAAGAGTACAGTGAAGAAGGGGATTGTAACCATGGCAATGAAACGATATCCAATAGGATGCATGTAAAGCTAATGTTTTCCCATGTAAACTATCTCATAGTTCACAATAAAACATAAAAGAAAAAAAAAAAAGAGTACAGTAAAGAAAACCTGGGGTCACGGTAAATTGAAATTAACCCAATGTCACTCAATAACATGACCACACGATGCATTCTAATTTAATGTCAGCCAGGATATCACTCATCATATGGTGCTTACTTATACAGTACAAACATGGGGAGAAGGTATTATGTTTTATTTCTGTAATTTACCCCAAAGGGTAGGATGTTAACCAAACAAGTTGTGGAGACCCCATACGTGTCAGTGGAGACTTGTGCTCTGTAGGTTTTTCAGTGTTGCCTTTTGGGAAGTAGATCACCAAGTATTTCTTTCAAGGTGGACTTGAATCTCCAACCTTTTGCCTAACAGCCAAGTGCATTAACTGTACAACCCAGACATTCCAACAATAACAAAAAAGTAGGGATTAATTTCAAGAGGAACTTACTTGGTAAAGTGATGGCTATTCTCAATGGATGAGAGATGGCGGCAGCCTTTGCAGAGCTGTTTGTGAGTAGGGAATTTCTGTCATAAACTTCCACTTTACATTGGTACACTCCTGACTCTTCCTCTGTGGCATCATGGATGAGGAGTTGAGAACGGAATGGAGACCGTGAAACCTTTGTCTTCTTTTGGAACTGGGAGAGGAAGCTCCCCCATTCAATGGCACCATTATGGGCGATTCTAATAAGCTGATGAAAGACTTGAGACCCGGCTGGCTGGAACTGCCAGATCACAGTGAGTGGTACCATGAGATCAGAGTAGTCAGCACTCACTATGCAAGACAGGTCAAAGGTGTCGGCTAATTGCACTTGTGGTTGACGGCTCATCAGAGTAACCTGTAAACTTGATTCTGCAGGCACAAATGTTAAAGCACAATGTCTAATTATATTTATCTAATCAAAGTATGGTATTTTCAAGTTTTCTTACTTGCCACTCCTTCACAGTGAACCATGCACTTGTATATCTGGATTATCATTTTTTGGTGGGTAGAAGTTGGTTCACAGTACAGTTTGTCCTGAATTCTGACCTCAGTTTTCCAAAGTTGACACTCTCTTAAGACTGTTCTCAGCAGCAGTAACAAATAGGCAGTGTTTCTACAGTCTGCTGCTCCGACAGCTGCTGCTGAGTGGGTGGAGCACTCCCCAGCCCCGATGGTCTGGCTTCCTTCCCTCACCCCCACTCATGGCTTCAGTATCAGTTTATCTTACAGGTGCTAGAACAGACTCTGCAATTTGAGGGCTGCAGCTGTCAAAAGGCGGAATGGAAAAGTCTCAGCTACCAAACCTACATGGCATAGCTCATCTATGAATTGACTCCAATGCACAGATTTTTGTTTTCAGCCTTGAAAACAACAACGTACAAGCTGAATTCTAAAGAGAATCTTTCTGAAGATGAATATACTTTAGAGATTAATTGGCAAGCATGGTAGCCAGAGACTATGCTCTGTGTCCTGGTCATGAATACCACTGGGGGATTCAGGCTCACATACAAACAAATCATAGTCCCATCACCACGCTTAGAAAAGAATTTCTTTGACACTCACCCAGAGATTTTACAGTGACCGAAATCTTCTGAGTCCAGCTCAGCTCTCTGGCCTGTTTCGGAATCATCTCAGACACTTCACACTGGTAAGTCCCGCTGTCAGTGATGGCCGTGGAGGGGATGTCCAGCTGGAAGGAAGCCCAGTCCACCTTCTCCAGCCTTATGTTGCCATGGTTATTGGGTCTCCCATAGGAGGAACCCAACTGCACGGTGCCATCATGGCCCATGCCAGCCATGAACTCTGGCTGTGTTTGGTCCTGTGGGAAGTGCCACCATTTCACTGATAGAGGACTTTCATCTCCACCTGCCTTACAGATGAGGGTTAGCACCTCTCCTTCCCACACTGACTGCTGCTTGTTCTTGGTAGACATGGCCACACTTCTTGCTGTGGGGTACAGATTTGAGAAGAAAAAACTGTTTTAGATGAACGAAAATATTTTTCTAAATTACAGTGAAATCTCATTAATTAGGACTTGACTCATTTGTGACAAATTATATCAAGCTATTGACCTTTGCCTCATCCCTAGATAAAAAGATTGGCTCAGCAATTAAATAGTGAAAACAAGACAGTAGAAACTAATATCAGGAGATCCCATTTATACTTTTTTTTTTTTAATTAAATATTTTTATTTCGGATTGAGTGAAAGTTTACAGGGCACATCATCAGCTTCACATTCAACCATTCATATAGCTTGTTTCATTTCATTACATTGATTATTATCCCCTCCATATATCATCAGTTAACAGAGTTTTTCTATATCCTCTTTTTTTTGGAAAAACTTTGCCTTTTTGGAATTTACAGTCTCAGCTTTTAGGGAAGGTTTTTACATTTGTCTGTGGATATCCAGGGCTCATGTATGAGATTACTAACAAGCATTACTGAATAATCAGATGAAGGACAGTTTGCTATGTCTACTAGGTAGCTAAAGTCTGATTCTTCAGAGCCTATGGTTTGGATGGTCAACAACGCTTGGGCCCACAGGGGCTTGACCTCCTGACCCATTTATACTTAATTGGTAATTTGTACTTATTTTTAATCAATTTGTTAATCCTTTAGAACATCTAGTTGGGAAAACATTTAATAATATTTTCTTAGATTAATTAGGGTGGGTATATAAATCTGAAAGCAACAAAGCTGTATTTATTTGCACTGTTAGTTCTTTGGAAGTCAGACTCAATTCAAAATCAACTCCCTCCTTGCCTTTCCCCAATCAATCCTAATCAGTATGCATTTAGAACAGGGGAAGAATTTGTTCATAAGATCTCTGCTCACAATGCTACCATGTAAAACAATTACTTGGGTGGGAAGGTGATAGATAACCATGTTGTTGTTAAGTGCTGTGGAGTCGGTTCTGACTCATAGCAACCCTGTACAGGGTTTCCGAGGCTGTAAATCTTTACGGGAGCAGAAAGCCTCA